TGTATTGCACGTTGCTATTTGGCCGAGGCCCCTAAAGTCCTCGAAAGCTATTTCACGGTGGTCACACAAGTTCTCCAGGATCACATTGATTATCCTTGTCCGTTCTGGAAGCTCCTTGGTTTGTGTCTGTTCACATTGGGCAATGATCAAAGCGAGATTCGGTCCAAGTCTTCGACTGTCCTTCGGAGCTTGGAGACACGTCAACAGAGAAACTCCAAGATTCAAGACTTTGACATCAGCATCTCAGACAAAACGCAGGCTGTGTACAAACTAGCACAGTTCGAAATCTCCAAACGCCTTGCCAAGCAACACACAGAACTGGCATTTCATATCTTCTCCGAGTTCACCCTCTACTTCAAGGATCTTCAACCTGCTGCTCAGCGAAATGTTGTTGCAGTCATGTTGCCTTGGATTCAGTCCATTGAGTTAAAATTGGACCCCAGTGGTGGACCTGCGGCACAGTCATTCGTATTGCTTGCAAACCTACTCGAGATTACTATCAAGTCCAGCGGCGCACTACATAATGAGGTTCAAGCTCTTTGGCAAGCTCTTGCAACTGGGCCTTACCCAGGAAACGTCCGATTGGTTCTCGAATTCATCATGCAGCTGTGTCTTGAGCGCCGGGAGCAGAACTTCGTTGAGTATGCTAAGCAAATTGTTGTTTTTCTCTCAACAACCAATAGCACGCCTGGCATTAAGGTTGTTGAATTCCTTCTTATGCAAATAACCCCGAAGGCCATGGTACCGAACGAGAAGCGAGATGCTGTTGAGCCCCCAGCTGACATTAACCTTCTGCCCTACTGTGCTAACTTGGCCGAGGCTCTTCCAGTTGGAACCAAGCAAGCTGGGTTTTCTCTCGGCCAACTGTCACTGATCCTACTTGTGGATCTAATGGTATCTCCAGTTAACCTTACCCACGAAAACGTCCCGCTTCTTCTTCAGGTCGTCACCGTCCTTTGGGATCATTACACTCCGTTGGTTCAGGAGCAGGCACGAGAGATGCTCGTGCATCTTATTCATGAGGTGGTCATATCGCAGATAGATGAGCAGACTCAGGATGTTGACAAGACAGTCATCGAAGATCTGATCGACATGATTCGTCGGCACGATCGCTCTGTGGTTTGGGGATATGAGGATAGCAACGGCAAGGTTGATGATCACGATAGCAAAGTGCCACCAAGTATGGAATTCCTTACAACAGAGGTTATCAAAACCTTCGAGACGACCTTTCCTGGAATCAAAGAGCATTGGGGACGCCTTTCGCTAACTTGGGCGACATCCTGCCCAGTTCGACATCTTGCTTGCCGGTCATTCCAAATCTTCAGATGCGTTCTTACATCTGTGGACCAGCCAATGCTTGGAGACATGCTTGCTCGATTGTCCAATACTATTGCTGATGAAGACCCAGAAATCCAATCCTTCTCCATGGAAATCTTGACGACTTTGAAGACCATCATTGTGAAGCTTGATGCTGAAGATCTTCTTAACTTCCCACAGCTGTTTTGGACGACCTGTGCTTGTCTAGAGTCTATTAACGAGCGGGAGTTCTTGGAAGCGGTCGAAATGCTCAACAAGTTTCTCTCAAAATTGGATTTGAGCTCACCAAATGTGCGACGAATACTTGCCGACGGCCAGCCGTCTCGCTGGGAGGGAATATTCGAAGGTATCCAGCCTCTACTTCACAAGGGTTTGCGATCGTCGCTTTGTTGGCAACCAACTCTCGACACAATAGATAAGTTGGTACACCTACCAAGCGACGGCTTAGTGGGCGACGAGTCCCGTCTATTCTTCTCGTTACTGGCCAACTTCCCGCGTTTCTTGAACGAACTTGAGAGGTCCACCTCGGACGAAAGCGTTATTCAGACAGCAAGACTTCTCCAGGAAGAAGCCGATAACCAAGGCTTGGCTGGTATCGCCGAGGCTCTGGAAGATTTCGCAATGGGAAATGTACAGGACAGCAGCAAAGACTTCATTGTTGAGCTATGGGGAGCTTTACGAGAGTACTATCTCCCCCAGATGGACTTCCAGATGGTGACTTTCCTAACCGGGCTCCTCACAAACTCGTTGTCGTGGGTGAAGATCCAGACCATGAGGATCCTTTGTGTCGCAATCCCTGAAGTGGACATGCGCAAACCCGAGCTCGCTGGTCATGGATCCGATCTGATCTCCCCACTTCTTCGGCTCCTACAGACAGAGTTCTGTATGGAGGCGCTTGAGGTGTTGGACAACATCATGACCATGTCTGGAAATCATATGGACAAGCACCATTTGAGGATGAGCATGACACGGCCAACCTCGAGGGCGATCCGCAAGGAATACGAGCGTACGCAGAGTTTGTTTGGGATACCCGAGGCATCAGGATGGGCCATTCCTATGCCTGCGAAGAAGACAGATGCGACGCGGGCCAATATTCATGCCGCTTTCTATACTTGTCAGGGCTCAGAAGGGATGTTGACCGAAACTTCGCCTACCCCCGATGTTGAGTTTCATGCCGATGACTTTCCATACAACTACTTTGGCGCACCAGAACGAACCGAAACGATGCTGTCTGATGAAGGACGCGGAGACGTTCACTCAGGGGATCTTGCAACTAAACTGGACAGCCTTGACGATTTCTTCGAAGAGCCATCCAGTCCTACGACGGATGACGATGGCAGATCTTCCAGAACAATCACAGAATATACCCCGGAGTCCTTCGAACCTGGAGCGGAACTTTACGATGAGCAGATTCTGCCGATTCTTCACGAAGCCTCGAACAATACCTCCTTCCAAAATGGATTCTCCGATCGATCTCCAGGATTATTGAGGGAGGCAAGCTCGAATACTATGAATCCGGGCGCCTTCAGTGTGGTAATTCCTACTGCCAGACCAGGCCTGCATTCCAGATCCATCACATCACCCTCCGCTCCAGCTTCTTATCAACCACAGATGGGCGATATTGTTTCTGACGATGAGTATGTGGGAGGCTTCTCTGATGCCGATGATGAGAGGCCTGGTACAGGGCATACCGAAAGCGCCTTTTACTTGGAGAATATGATCAAGCCCGCAACACGAAGACCTCAGTCGAGGATGAGACGTGGGCCAAGCAGCCGTTCACGAGACGAGAGGAGCAGAGAGAAACCACCGCCCCAACCGGCATCACGCCTGGCCAACAGTATATTCCCACCAGGCATGCAAGATCACGCAGAGGGCGATATGCTATGATTTGTGAAGAGGACCAGTTTTACTGGCCATTTTTGTATAATTGCTAGATATGTTGTATGACGAGTGGATGTTGTGCTGCGCTGGCGCCAGGGATCTTACATGTGAAATAGTCAAAGTATTGGATATGTCTACATATATGTCAAGAAGAAAAAAAGCGATCGAATTCAACAATGGATAGACTGTCGAACTCACAGTTCATAGCATGGCTGTGGTTTTGAGTGATTGTATGGTTTCTGCTCAGCTTAACTGACAAGGCGATGCAAGGCGCAAATCAAGCTCAAGTGTTCCATCTACCAAGTCCTAATGAATAGTCCCAAACTCAAGACTAATGTAGTTACTCTAAGTGAGAACAGTTGATCATCTCTCACAATACACTCATCTCCAACCTAGCTCGAATGATATTACTTGGAAAACGTTGACAGGGTTATATGTAACCCCGTTTAATGCATATTCAGTCTCAAATCTTCACAGCCCACGGTTTTGAGAAGGAAAGGTTTGATATGTCGGCCAACAATCTATGAATAATGCCTATTTTGTCCCGAGGCTCTTTTAATGTCTCAAGGCATGTAAATCTGTCGACGAAATGGTGCCGCGCAATACATGGTGCAAGGCTGATGAGCAAGCGCAAAGCCAAGGCTCCAAAACCCTTTGAATTAATATATCCCGATGCTCCGACCAAGGAGCACTCCGATCTCAACTCCTTCTTATCATACGTGGAACGTGTCAGCTTAAACAAAAGATCCACGGTCTACAGAGGCACCCATTACGAATATACAGTCGCCGATGCACTATCACAGTATGGCTTCTTTCTCAAACGCGTTGGCGGGCAGTCAGACCGTGGCATGGATCTTCTAGGGATATGGACACTCCCCTCCACAACACAAACATTCAGAGTGGTTCTCCAATGCAAAGCGGGTGCTCGGAGTGCAAGCCCAATGTACGTTCGCGAGCTCAAGGGCGCTATGGCAGCAGCTCCTCCGGGATGGCGAGGCAATGATGTCCTGGGCCTCCTGGTGGGTGAGAAACCAGCCACGAAGGGTGTGCAGGGCGAGATGCACTCTGCGGATGTGGCGCTAGGCTATGTGTGTTGCTCCAAGGAGGGAGATGTTCTGCAACTGATATGGAATATCAAGGCTCAAGCGATGGGTCTAGATGGAGTTACAGTTGGTTTGAAGTATGGAGAGGATAATAACAAGCTTGTGTTGATGAGGGGAGGTGAAATGCTACCCCTGCTGGAGAAGGCTAAGACTGAGGACGAAGAGGTGGTGGTTGATATGTCTGTCATTAACATCGAAGGCTCACAGGATTAACGCGGAATGGCCACTAACGTGCATCTTTTGTATTCTATGTAATATATAGCATATTTCGTTTATTTACTAAACGTCAAGCCTGGGAAACGCAGTGTAGCATATTTAGCACGTCAGAACGTTATCCAAAGTTATCTGCCTATGCGAAAACGTTCTATAATGACATGACCATCACCTATCCTTCATCGACGTCTCCTTTCCTTGCCTTCACATCTCGTAGATAATCAGCCTCACTTCTTGTGGTCACATTCCACGCTCATATACCAACCTTCGCAATGGCCTTCTTCACCGCCGTTTCGATCTCCTTGAGACAAACTTCGGGCTTCTTCGTACCAATGGCTTTGTTGTCATCACTACCGTCCGTGTCGAAAACATCATCGAAGCTGAATTCCCCAGAAACCACATCTTGCTCGACAAGATCGCGCGGCGCGGCCTTTTCAAACGTGACCCATTCTTGACCTTTGTGATACTTGTGACAGAACTGCTCCTCTACCGGCTTGCCAGGGTCGATACGGCATTTCCACTAGCCACCGCTCGCCTTCTGGAAAGGTTCGGACCAGCGAGAGCTGGGTTCGTGCCATTTCTTATCCCACTTGTTGTTGTTTTTCTTGCTGCGCATCTGGTTCTCGAGTCTCCAGATATGGGTGAGGAATTCCTTGTACTGCTTCTCGATGCTGTTGCGGCGGTTGATGGGGACAACTCCATAGCTGGTGAAGGTTGGGAACCATCTTGGGACATCAACCTTGACACGAGTTTCGTACATATTGTGGCGCTTAGAGTCATTATCAGTCTCAGGGAGTATATAGGGGAAATAGTCGGTTTCCCACTCAAGTCTGCTGGTGTCGATGGCCTTGGGAAGTTGTTTCAGATGAGGTGAGTTGAAAGTTGGGAAGTGATGTTTGACCTGCTTGGAAAAGGCTTTGTTGCATGCCCTTTTCTTCGAAAAGGCCGCCTCGTCATCAAGCCACTTAGCCGCTGGGCAGGTATTGGATGACTGCTCTTTGAGCCACAGATCATACTTGGAAGAGGACTTGATTGGGTGCTTAACCTTCTTTGAGGTCTTCTGAAGAATATTATATTCATCTTCATTGACCTCTTCCAGCGAGAACAGCCCCTGGAAACTCTCAGCTTGACGGAGAACCGCCGTCTGGTCCTCAGTAAGTGGTAAGTGAGAGGTATCTGGGTGGAAAGTGAACTCTCCAGCAATCATGCCTTCGACGTGTCCATCGCGGATGGCGATCTTTCTGGTCAAAGCGGAAACTTCAACTTTGTCGTCGTATATTGCTTGTTGTACGTGGCGGGGCACATCATGGAATTCGATTGGAGTGTTCCAGTCGAGCATCTTGATGGCCTCCTGTTCTGCAGTGGCCTGTCGCTTATCATTGATCTTTTTGACACTAGCATCGTGATGGTGCTTCTTGTAGGTAGCATGAACAGCATACTCCTGGCGAATATCTGCTTCAAGAGCGAGTGGTTCGAGAAAGTTGATTTCGCTATGCCAGTTGTGTAAGGATAGAGGTATCTCGGGGTCGATCTGCTTAGCGAGGACTCTAGGCTTAAAGGTGGAATCACTATGTTCGGCATGATCTTTGTTGCAAGGATAGTTGGATTCGGAATGCCAGTTCTCTAGCAGTTTGAATCCGGGCTTTCGCTCTGGAATGGTGAACTGAGATCGGTGGCTAGTCTTAGGCTTGTGATACTCTCGAGGTCGATTGAGTTGGGTGTCGATGCTCCGTTTGTGCCTGGCTTCACGCACATCTCCAGAACCGAGTTTATCTCTTTGAGAGTCGGTAGGGGGGGTGTGAAGATCAACTGAAGATACTTCTCCCTGGTTCGGGCTGCAGAGGTAATCTTTGAGAGCTCGCGGACTGTGTGGCGAGAATGCCTTGAGATTGTTCCCAAATGGTGAGCTGGGGTAGGTGTCTTGTTTCTCTTCCTGACGTCTATTGAGAGGTACCTCCTTGCCTGGGTTCTCTATCAGGAGAGGAAGAGGAGGAGTATGGGCGTATGGGTCGGACAACTTGTTCGGCGTCATGATGAAGGTTGGTGTTGGGTTCAGGTCTCCAAGATGTGTCTCCGATAACAAGTCTCCAACAAATCTATCCAGAAAGAAAAAAGAGATTTTAGTTTATTCTAAAATGAGAAAGTATTGTGTGCGCGGGAGGAGAGAGGGGAATATTCACAATGGGCATAGGTGAACAAATAATGACTGGACATAGCTGTGCAGCCGCCTGCCAGTGCCTGACACCCCAACTCACCAAATAGACCTGAACAAGTCGATTGTATAGAACCAACAATGCCTGAACAATTGGCAATGCGCTGTTAAACAGGAGTAGCCAGTGTAAACGGCTTTCTACCAGTGTTGAAGAAAGTTCACTCAGTAGGGAAGCAAATTCCTATCACTGTTCATATATATTGCCACACGAAAAACGTTTGTGAGTATTTATTTCTCACTGATATAGGTTGTGGCCCGACTTCGTGTTGGTACAAGGCTTTAGGATTCAACGTAACAAGGCCAAGTCCCCTCCCTCAAACGTCTTCAATGAGCTGACGACTCCCGCCTACCTTCACCGTCAGTGAGTCACGAGCCGAGGGACAGATCTCGATGTCAACGATATATGAGGATTTAGCCAGCTTTATAAACTGTTTGCGCCCTTGGTCCCGGGTTCTGAGTATACACGAGATCATTCTGTGGCGGTTGCATCTTCGGCAGAGCCGGTGCATACGCTGGTAGACTCGTGGATCGGGTTATTTGTAACGTTGTATGGTCATACATTGATCTGTGTCAACTTCTGGAAACATTCCGTAAGTGGATATAATACACTTATATACAAAAGTCCATAAAACCCTCCGCTGCCATCCATATCCCGTGTTATACATATAGTCACAAACACAGACACCGCTGCATGTGGCTCATTCCTTGCACTATGATGATACAGGTCCTACTTTGACCTGCTCCCGAAGTCTCTTAGCCTCGGCCATCCGGTCCTGTCTATCTTGTCTTCTCTGTCCCGCCTCAATTCTAGCAAAGTGACCACGCGCGCCATGCTTGAGCTTTGTGATCATGTCCGCAGCCTTGCCCTTGTCCAGGTTTTCGAGCTTCAAAGGCTCCGCCTTCCCCCGCATCTTATTGATGAAATCAACTTGTCCCTGTGTAGGCGGCAGTGTCCGCCATCTTTGGTAGCGGTGAATAAATGTATGGGGGAACATCTTGGCGGCGAAACTGTCCGCTCCATGCACTGCATCAGTGAATGTGGCTGCCGTGAGAATCTCCCGTGGCATTGCGTATGGTGCTTTGGCTACGCCAGGCGGTAGAGCCCGTACCTCTATAGCTCGGTAAACAGGCCCCTTTGTGTTCAGTTGTTCACTGACCCGCTCGATTCGAACATATGAACCGCTCGGTGACGATAAGACAAACTTTTCTTTCCCGACCTGAACCCATGCATACTTGCTTATGGCCCGGATGTGTTTCTCGCCAGACGTATCGGCGATAAGATCTAAAACCGAGTCATAGTCTGTGAATGTGACACTATCGGCTCCGGGTCCGGGAGTTGTCTGGTATGACAAAGGCTGTTGAGACGTAACATGCTCAGTGTCCTTGATCTTGCGTAGGTCATTCACTGTTGCCCTCTCGACCAGAATATCAGGGTCAAGACCGAATAGCGTTGGTGTCGTCACGATTCCAGTGTCCAAACTCGAGACCAGATCAATGATATGGCAGTTCTTCTTTCCCGGATGCAACCTCATTCCTCTGCCGATCATTTGAACAAGCAAATTGCGGGACCTCGTCGGCCTCGCGAGGATAATGCAGTCGATATTTGGGATATCAGTTCCTTCAGTGAAGACACCGCAATTAACCAGCACAGGAAACTCTCCTTTTCTAAACGAGTTCAACGTCTCGCCTCTTTCAATCTTGGGGGTCTCTCCAGTAACATATCTCGCGTCAAAGCCATGTTGTCGGAACCGATCTGTCAGCTCCACCACATGGGCAACATCAACACAAAACACAAGTGTTGACTGTCTTCCTGGAGCTTTCGCCATCCAGCTGCGGACTGTTATATCGTTGATCTCGCTGGTATTGACAGCCTTGGATAAATCCGAAGGGAGATAATCGCCGAAAGCCCCCTTCTTAACTTCGGATAAGTTTGCCTTAGACTCAACCGTTGTAAAAATGACGTCCGACAGCCACTTCTTAGAGATCATATCTACATAATCTTTGTGGTAAACAATTTCGTCGATGGCTGCGCCCAATTTCACTCCATCAAAACGTGAGAACGTGGCGGAGACACCAACTAGATTTGGGGAGTCAAGTCGCTTCTCATCTAATCCAAAGTGACGAAGGGTTTTGAGGTACCCCGGAGCAACGATGTGATGGGCTTCGTCGACCAGCAAAAGCTTGAAGCGGGACGGGTCGAATTTCTTGAGACGGCCTTGTGACGTTATGCTTCGTACGCTGGCGACTGTGATATCTGCCGTGCCCGTTGCATGGACATTACCCATCTCGATCTCGATCCTCTTGTCAGGATACGCACGTTGACAGTGGTTGGCTGCTTGTTCCACAAGCTCACGACGATGCGCCAATATTAGCGTCTGTTGCGCATCCTTATTTGCTGTTGGGATTCTATCAATGAGTTGTGTAAAGATGACCTTCTTTATGTCAATCGACTGAGCTTTCATTCTAAGAGAAACACGCTTACTGTTTTACCGCTACCAGTAGCTAGAGATATCCCGACTCGTTTGTGACCGCTCTTTAGAGAGGAAAGAACTGAGTCGATGCATTCTTCTTGATAATCTCGAAGCTGTAATTTGGGGGTGTCATGAGCAATAGCCAAGGCAAAGGCTCTGAATGGGCTTATTATGAAAGGCAACCTTGCAGCTTTGGGCCGTAAAACAGCTCGTGGTATAGCCTGTAACATGGCACATGATGAGAGGTGCAGCGAAAACGCGTTTCGTCTCATCGATATATGATAATAAAAGCACTTCATGGTTGAGATGTCATTGAGTCTTCGAGTGCTAACCTAGACCAAGGTGTGAACGCATTATGTAAGCAGTATTCTTCCACTACCAATATTTCATTTTAACATCGACTGAAGGAGTGGACAAGCACTTATAAACTCTCGGTGCAATGAGTGATGCGTTAACGTCAATATCAACTTTGTGATCGCCTTTTTAGTCTTGCAAAAGTTCTTTTATTTTCCTCTTTGATACCCACTCCTGGCAAGGAGTAATTCAAGTTCATTCTGCTCGCTACCATGTTTTCGCCCTCTCATATCTTTCCAGCCATCATACACAAACCAGTATGGAGTCGGAAACCAATTATGAACCCCTCGATGAGGATTTAAGCGACACAGAGAAAGTTGGAAACCTGGAGCTTGGAGACGAAGTTCTGTTACCGCCACTTGACGAGCAATACGTTGCTGATCAAACTGACGCATCTGGTAGTGTGTATAGTGCGAAGGAGGATGAAACAGACCAAGACGAGGATTCTTCCCTGAAAAGACGCGCTGAGGAAGACTCATCCCCGAGACTTTTCAAAAGACAGAAAGGAGTTCTCAACGCCGAGTACTTGGATCTTCTCAATAGAGACATTGAAGATGCAGCTCAGCGTGTCTGCTTTACCGACGATAGCGAAGAAACCGTTCTGTATCCAAGCCAAATAGGCCTCACTTACTGGTCGATACCGGAGAAGAAACTCTTCTTCGAAGCGATTGCTCGTCTTGGCCAGAGTGATCTTCCAGGTATTGCATCCCGTATAGGCACCAAGAGCGAGATCGAGGTGAATCATTATCTCGACGTGCTCCGAACAGCACGTCTCCTCAGACAACGACAAGTCAGACGCCCCGCCATTGAATTCCCAGAGATCCCAGCCGCCGTAGAACTAAGTCAACAATGTTGCCACGCCTTAGACGAGGCTGCAGACGCTATTTCTGTGCGTCAGGAACGAAAGGAGGAACAGCGAGAGGAGAGCAAATGGGGAGACTGCTGGGACATCAGCCCAAGGATTGCTCGCCGACTAGACAGGGGTGAAACCGTCGTTGAAGGCCAGGATCTTCCTTTCTCCAAGTTATTCAACTTGCATACCTGGTTAAGCCTCTCTGAGCGTATCTTCATGAATTCCTCCATTCCTAGTGAGAACTGGGATTCTATCGAAAACAGGCCTCCCTCGATGTGGGCCACTACGTTCGACGACTTTCACTCTTTGGCAGTCTCAATTACGAAACGATTGGTTCAAACAACGATATTTCTCAGCGAGTCAAGAATTAGGGCCAAAAAGGAACTCGTACCAACTACTCGCGAAATTATCAGAGCACAAGATGTGGAAGCAGCTGTGTCGTCCCTGGGATTGAACCATAATTCCCATCAGTTTTGGAACCAATGCGCACGAAGACTACGACTTGAGGTCCACGAGGAGCCGCCCCAGCGGGAGGAGGAAGGAGAACGTGAACCTCTTAGCTATGAAGAAGTGGAAACCCTTCTCTCTAACGGCGGCGATGAGGCCGACCAGGCATTTGAAGCGCCATCTGATGTAGAAGAAACCGCCAACTCTTCTGGAAACGAGGCCCTAAGCTCTGATTTCGAGGAACCCGTCTCACATTCGAACGAAGAGGAGGCTGCTATCGCACGGGAGGCCAACGAAGTTTTGCTCTTCTCTGCCGCCGACTTCCCAGAAACGTATCGGAAGAAAGAGACTCTCAAGAACCGCATCGCAAGTGAGCGGCGACAGGAGCAATATGCTGAAGAACGCGACCAGTACGTCAGCTGGCAGGCTGAGACTGAGATGTGGGATCTACTACAGAAGAAACCTCTCACTGAAACACCCAGGATACCAGAACCGGGCCCGTTGCAACGGTCAACTATGGATGTGGAGAGTATCTTTCCCATAGGAAGGGAATGGAGAACCTCGGTAAAGTACCGCAGCGAGTGGGAAGGAGAATAGGAGACAATACCTGATCTTAGCCAGTGAGAGGACAATAGAGCTTGGGAGCTCGCTTGCTAATGTGAATAACTACTTATTATGACTCCATGCCTAAGGGTATCTGAACCGCCCCATCTATCGTTTGCATCATACCAATTAATTCACAAGCTAACGTCTCCTCTTTGGTCTTGCCTTTGCTTTAGTAGTCTTAGCCTTCTGGCCCTTCTTGGCACCTCGTGTGGACTTTGATACTTGTGTTTCGCTCTCTTCAGCACTTTCTTCTTCGCCACTAGAAGAGCTCTCGCTGTCTTCTTCTTCGCTCTCCTCCTCCTCCTCTTCTTCCTCCCGCTCCTCTTCTGTGGTCTCAGCCTTTTCTTGCTTCTCAACCTTGGCCGGGGTCGCTTTCTTCTTTTGTCGTGAAGCACCTCGCTTGGACTTGGGCGCTGGTGATGGTGCGTCCGTACCGTCCTCAGTATCTTCTACCGATGCGCCTCTGGTTTTCGTATCACCTCGCTTGCGCTTCTTGGCGGGTGAAGGTGCCGGAGAAAGTTCGAGCTGGGGTGGTGATGTTGGAGCTTCGCTGACGTCGGCCACGGCTCGGGCCATCATTGCTTCATAGTATTCCGCTCTTGGCAAACAGAAGTCATTGTATTCGACCTCTTCATCGTCGAAGTTCTCTCTTTCATCGATCACCTCAAGATTGTAGTATGTTCGGAGCTTTTGCCAAATATACGGGATGCGTGTGTGCTGGTACAAATCAGGGTCGATACCATGGTTCCGCAAGTGCTCCGAAATTGCTATCATTCGAAAGTGCTTATGCATGCCTACACAGTCTTGGTTAGTAATAACTCGACATGAAGGAAGAGACTCAACTGACCAGCTGGTTTCCAGCGAATGACACCCTTGAATAACGAGGCTACTTGATCATCCGTCCAAAGACTATTGTAGTTATTGTCTGGCTGTTGCTCTTTTGTCTCGCTAGAACCTTCATTATCACCAGTCTGGGGAGTGTCGACGTCCATTGCATCGTCATCTCGTGCAGGAGTTGGTGTCGCAACAGTTTGGGTGCTAGCCCGGGCGCGCTTCCTCGGCGCCATAGTGATTATGATGAGGAGACCAAGATCGGTCGATTTATGGTGATGTTGACGAGATATGCTGTGTAAGTGACAATTTTGTATCAGGGGTGTTGCTTGGTGGTTTGGATAATCTGGATGCCTCGAACGAAATTGAAGATTTCAAAAACCGAACTCGTCGTCGAATGCAATGGGCTGCTTGAGAAGGAGGCTCTAATGAAATCATAAGCTCGCATCCAATCCAATGGCTTGCGTAAAGCGGGCCCCAAGCTTGTGGTCCTCCATTTTTAGTGCACAGAGGCTCTGAAACGCGCCTAACGTCCACTAAAGCGCGTCTACGGAGGGGCACCTTATGGATATTGATATCGCGTTAATTGCCCTTCAGACGTACCTTGGATAACAAGACTCAAGCTCGGCCTCGGCTTTGAAACCCACAACGCGCTGCTGAGCACTATGTTATTGAATCGAATGCATTTTATGAGAAAGGATCATGGCTGAATCCAAGGAGGACCTGGGAGCTGTATTCACTATACCTGACTTTTGGGAACCGTCGAGATTCCTACATCAAATAGATGATGGCCCACAAGCTCAGAATCCCTTCTTTTCTCCTGGGCTCAGAGGTAAATCTGGACCTTGAAATTGAACCGTACCCCTACTAATCCGTGTTACTAGAAGATGTAAAATCGGAGCTTGTCCAGCTTGGCCAAGTGTCATTGGAGCAAAGTGGCTTCTTCAAGTTACCATCTCAGCTTGAGCTTCAAGACAAGCCAGAGCCAGAGCCAGAGCCAGAAGTAACTGCGTCTACCAACAACATCCAAGCCTCCACGGAAAGTCTAGCTGATCCGGAAATTGGCGATGACATCTGGGCACATACCGATGAACCAGAAGAGAAGACACCAGAACACAGGACTTGGGATAGCTTCATCTCCGGTACGCCGGCTGGCCAACAACAGCCTTTGGTGACGGAAGCTGGAGCCGCGGTCTACGATGCCTTACTAGGTTGGTCCGTCGACCCTCTTGAACTAAAAAGCTCCGAGGTTCCTATTGTCGATATCAAAGCCTACTTTTCTTCATTGCTTGCTCTGGCTCTTGGTCAAGAATCAATCTTCTACTCCAAACAGGAGAAAGGCCGCTCTTTTGCACCGGCGATTCCAAGCATGCGGGTCACAGGGTGTTCCAAAGATGTTCTCCAGGGCCTGGAAAAACAATGTCACCGCTGCGGATCAATGTTGTTCGAATTGCGATCCTTTGTCAATTCTACTTATGCAAAGCGCACGTCCAAATGCGGCGTTGCTTTGGCTGGTGTGCTTGATCAAATCCTTAAGGACGTTCAGCGACATGTCGCTCTCCATAGGCAGACACCGCGATCGCTTTTGGAACTCCAATCAACAGTCAAAGGAATGCTTGCGATTCTGATACCATTTCAAAGACTTGCTTCCAAATTTCGCAAAGGTTACGAAGACCAACATGTTCTCTCCCAAGTATTCCATGAAGCATACTCAGTCGACTACGGTGAAGAACAACTCCGAGGTATTATGCGCGAAGTTTTACAGAGAGTCTCTTCGCCTTGGATCGAGTTCCTGGAAGAATGGATCGGGACTAGGCAAGAAAAAGGGATTCCCTTAACCAAAGCCAATGTGGGAGCGAGCAAAGGTTTCGTCAAAGTCGACACGGAGAAATATACGGACGATTTCGGGCAGGAGGTTGAGGACATTGACTTTCTCCTGGACGAGACCAAAATGCCCCATTTCATGCCCTACGATATTGCCAAGTCTATTTTTGAGACAGGCAAGAATCTGCGGTTCATTAGGGAGTGCCACCCCGAGCATCCCTTGGCTTCATCAGCTATCATCGGTGCGACCGATCCCCCGAAGGTCAGCTGGCTTTACGACTGGAACGCCATCGAGAACCTTGAGAAACGTGTAGCCAAGTATCACGACGATCTCTTAGGGGTAATTCGCGACTGTTCATTCCGAGACAGAGTCAACTCGGAAAGCAATGGCCTTGCGATTGATTCTGAGATCGCAAACCCGTTCTTTCGTGAAGACCCCACGTCAGAAACAGCTGGAGGGCTCTTGAATACTCTTACGGCACGTATGGATGAGCCCTTACCTGATGATGTGAGCAAAGAGGATACGTTGAGTCAAATCTTGCGTGAACGTCTTACCCAGTCTCCTACTCGCAAGTCTCAACCTCCTACCAATGGCTTCGACTTCACGCCTCATCCATCGCTTCTTCCCGTGCTTTCATTTGGGGGCATTGCTTCCGCGCAATCTGAGGTTGTTAATCAGGAAAGTCTGAGGCTGCTGTTTAATCACCATGATTTGCGTGGTCACCTGAAGATGCACCGTGATTTCCACCTCTTTGGTAGCGGCATGTTCGTAAGCCGCCTGTCCCATGCTCTATTCGATCCAGACCTGGAAACAGCCGAAAGGCAGGCTGGAGTTGCGAGGCAAGGAGGTGTCATGGGCCTTCGCCTGGGAGGTCGAGATACCTGGCCACCAGCGAGCTCGGAATTACGTCTAGCTCTTATGGGCGTTCTAGCCGAGAGCTTCGATTCAGACAATGAGTTCGCTAAGGAAAAGCTGGCTAGTATATCGAGGGATGCATCTGAGCTCCCAGGAGACATGAGCTTTGCTGTCCGAGATTTATCGCAGGAAGAGATCGACAAGTGCATGAACCCAGACTCCTTGGAAGCTCTCGACTTTTTACGATTGTCCTACAAGCCCCCTGCGGCATTATCCAGCATCATCACCCCTGTGATTTTGACACAGTACGATCGAGTCTTCAAGCTGTTGCTAAGAATCATGAGGATGGTTTATGTCGTCAACCAATTGTTCTTAGATGTCAATGCTAGGACCAGTCGCTGGAACGACCCTGAGGACATTTCCTACCGATTCACTCGAGAGGCCCACCATTTTGTCTCCGGGATCACCTCATTCTTCATGGATGCTGGGGTCGCCATTCCTTGGGAAGCATTCGAGGCTAAACTAGACAAAATCGAAGCCGACTTGAAGAACCCCTCGACAGCCAAGAGTCCAGCAGATAAGGTTGAGAGTCCTGATAGACTACGAGAGTTCCACTCCCGAGTACTTGATCGAGTCATGCTTTCTCTTTTTCTCCGGAAACGACAGCAGCCAGTGCTAAATTTGCTCGAAGAAATCTTTGGTGCAGTTCTGGAATATGCCAAATTTTCACGATCCAAGGCTCTTGGAAAGAACCAGACTACCGACCCAAGAGAATTGGAAGAACTACAGCGTCTGTACAGCAACTTCAAGAAGAAAGTGCAAATCTTCATGACTGTCTGTCGAGCCTTGACCGAAAAGAGCCGGTCAACAAGTAATAAGGTCTCTGACGATTTGGGGTTGAAACAAGAGGGTATTGGTGAAGACCATATGGTCGCTCAATTACTGTTAAAGCTCGATATGGGACACTACTACACGAAACACTAGGACGTATATAATATTAGGTATTCGCCACGAAGGATATGAAGCTATAAATGAAATTCTGCCAAGCCTGGAAGTAATACACATATCTAAACATACTTAGTAGGTATTCATTCTATTGATAATCCGATACCCCGCCATCGATGTAGGTTGCACCCTTGCTGCGGCAGGCCATCTTTAGTGGTGGATGCCCCTCCAAATGACCCCACGCGCTACCTAGGTAGGTTAGTTCCTAACATTAATTCCTGGGCTGTTTGTTTATATTGAACCTTCAACGCTGAACCATAGCAACCTACCGAGAACGAAAATGTCGCGACAAAGCGTAGCAGCGCGCAACCTGTCTCTCACTGAAGAGCTTGAAAGACTAGAGCAATCGATTACTCTGACTCTTCAAGGTATACATGAATCTTGAATTTTCGCGACCCAGGGCTGACCCTCGGCTAGAAATCGATCACAACTTTAGCAAATCGCATCGCATAGTGACAACAAGCATTCTACCACTAGTAGAACAGTATGGAGAACACTCTCGCGCTGTTTGGGAAGCTTCAAAGGTGCATGAAGTCACCGGGATTCGAAGGAAGTGATGCTGACGACATGTAGTTCTGGAAGCAATTTTTCGAGGCATCGGCCAACGTATCTCTCTCCGGTTATGAAGAGCTCGCCAACGACGACGAAAGCGAAAACGTGGATGAAAGTACCGCTATGAGGGAAGATATAACAGAAGAATACACATCTCAGCATCACGAAGATGTCACCGCCACGACCGGCATCGAGCAATCTACCTTCCAAGCTGAGGACTCCCTCCTTGATGATGCTGAGCTCACCGGAAGCACGCCCCGGCCTGGAAAGACGAAGACCCGATTTTCTGATATGGAATCTCCTTACGAAGCCATGAAGCGCGAGATGGAAGGGGAAGCAAACAATACCACAGTCCTAGACGATAACGAGGATTCGACTGTCTTGTTCGCCCAACACACCGCTAGACTCCCCGATATGTCAATGACTCCACAGGCCCAGCGCGACCACACAATGACCGGCGAGCAGTCTATTCAGCCTCATAAGGATCCTTTGCTTCACCGTGTTCTCGACAAGAACTATCGCATTCAGGCAACTCCACACAAGCCCGCCCTTCGCATCTCTCCACTCAAGAGCGCCCAACGCAAGAAGGACGCCCCCGCATGGAACGACTCACCAGGCTCCTCGCCCGAAATGGCAGTACCGACTCTACGCAGTGAAGTTTTTATGTCGCCCTACAAAAGTAACGCTCGACAACGTCTTGCGGCAGCAACGCAGGGTCCTCGAACACCTGGCGTTAGTGTTCAGACGCCAGCGACAGCACGAAAGACGCGGGACGTCTTCGCTGATGACACTGTCACAGCCACTGGAAAGGAGAAGTATGAGATCGACTGGGATAGTGATGAAGGTGATGAGGATATCGATTTATATGCAGGCATGAGCCCGCCCAAGACGATACAGTTCGCACTGCCTCCTTCGAAGCTCTTGCAAACACCTGGTAAGGTCTATCTTGCTCTCAAATGGACTACTACATACTAATACTGTCTGATAGCACGTGAAGCC